CATCTCAATCAAAATTACACTCATCAATCTCGCCATTTTCGATATCACGGACCTCCAGTCGTCGAAGGATTGGGTCAAAACCATCATCAACCCTCGACGACGACGATCCCTTCAATGTCATCTGTCGCCAGATCGATTCTTCCTACGAAACGAAGATTGAAGCTCGATCCTCCTGCAAAACTTTACTTCCCTTGTGAGTTTAAATTTTTTATCGAAAAATATGATTTTTTGGATCATTGTGTGAAATTGACTCACTGAAGTAATGTAAAGTTAGCTTTTTTATTTAATTTCGGGGAATTATGATATTGGATCATTGAAGATGATGACGTTGACTTGTAATTGACTTATCTATAAATCTGTTGAGCAAATTTAGGAGTTTGTAAAAAATGTGGACCTAAAATTTGAAGGTCTTGTCAATTTCAAGATTCACTCTTTTATTGATCCATATATAGAGATTGTAATGAGATGTAGTTTGTTTTCAGGTCTAATTGCTGATTTATTAGTTTTATGTGATTATGTTTTGAAGATGAGACTGGGAAGCAAGTCAGGAGTGCTATTAAGATTAAGAATACGAGCAAATCGCATGTAGCTTTTAAGGTTTGTTGTTCTGATGGATCTTTAACGGTTGTTGTTTATTCGGTTTTTATCTGCTGCTGATGATTCTCTATGTTTCTTTTTCAGTTTCAAACAACGGAACCAAAGAGTTGCTTCATGCGTCCTGCTGGTGCTGTTCTTGCTCCCGGAGAAGAAATTATCGCGACTGGTATTTGCTTCTATTCTATCCGATTATCATATACGCCTTGCTTCCCCCGAGGATTATACGGTGACTGTTTTCTATTTTGTCGTTGAATTCTTTAGTTTTCAAGTTTGTTGAGGCTCCTGAGAATAATGAAAAGCCAATGGAACAAAAGAGTGGGGTTAAGTTTAAAATCATGAGCTTGAAGATGAAAGTCCCAACGGACTATATACCTGAGCTGGTATGTGAAAATGCTAGTCTAACTGATCAGAATCTGAAAGAGAAGATACGATAAAATGAGAATCTTGTTCTTGGAATCTAAGAATAATTGGATGCTCTTGTGTCTTTTCGCAGTTCGAGGAGCAAAGAGATCACGTCTCTGAGGAACAAGTAATGCGTGTGGTATTCTTGGATCCCGAAAGCCCAAATCCCGTGAG